TCTAGTTTCAAAATGTCGAGGTAAGAGGAGCAAGAGAGACAGGAAACCATGTGGCTTCTGCTTCACGTTAATAGGGAAGCTTATCTGCGATCGTTATAACTATATATAATATACATATAATAATAGTTATAAAGAGTATAATTGTTAAGTGCCAGACGCTTGACTATAGTTGCTCATTATAATACAGTGATCCCAAGAGGCTCATACTATTACACACAGTTCACAGATGATGAAATGAAGAGTCATCTCAAACTTGACCAAGTGCGTAAAACTAGTAGGATGGAAAGCCAGATGCAGATTCGACAGGCCCTGCCTTCCCCACTGTTGCTTGAGGTGATTTGAGTCTCTTTCAAACACATACATTTTCCTCTTAGATGTTGACTCTGCGAGGTGTAAGACAGAAACCCAGGGCAGGAGAAACCCTAAGAAACATTAGGGAAAGTGCAAATTTACCAAGGGCTGGAGTATATTCACTGCAATTGAAAATTGTGCGCTGTAATTTGTTACAAAAATTAAAAATTGATGTTTTGCCAAGGCTTTTAGCATGAAATCCTTCAACTAAATATATCATGGGCAAAAACACACTCCAGATTACACTTCATATTTTGTAAACTTTGTCATAGTTTTTTGATGGCTATTATTGCCGTAGTGAGGACCTTGATTTTTCATAAGGAAATAAATCACAATAAGGGGAAAGTTTTTATAAATGTAATCACTAGAAACATCGCCCACAGACTGACATGTCTTTAGGTATGCATCATTATGGTAGGTATTCCATGGGACTCCCAAAAATGTCTTATATGCCGAAGTTAGAAGATTTTTTCCCCAATCTGTCGATACGTCAACTATATGGCAATAAAATAACAGTAATCTCAGTTAAACTCACTGTAGTCTTTGATAAGCTAAAATACAGTGATGAGTGTGACAACTGAGAATGTCACGTTTCTGCAAAACCCAATTCCTGCGGTATGTACCACCCCCAAGAATATGGAAACATGCTAACATTTCTAACAGAAAATCTGCTACATTTGAGAAAGAAATGTAATAGCCAAATACATTGCAATTCCTATGGATTCTCATTTTTCTAGATTTTGAAACAATAATTTAATGGTCAGACTGTTATCAGAAATCCCGTGATCTTATTCTAGGATTTCCTTATCATTATGCTTCAGTGACAATTGAATTTCCAGGTAGGAGAGGAAAGGGTGCATTCACATTTGTCTTTAAAATTACCACAGAACCAGTCTGGGTCTACCTCACACAGTAGTTTTGGAATTAGGTTAAAAAGTGCAGTTAATTTGCTCAGTCACTAAGGCTCAGAATCTATGTGAACAGTTAGAAGGTCTTGCCAGATGTGGAAGTTTCAATCCAATTAGGATGCTTCATAAGCCTTTTCTTGCAAGGAGGTTATATTTTGGGGACGTGAATTTCACTCTTCTAGGTCACCTGTAACAGTTTCTTGTTATTTTCCGGAAAGACTAAATCCTTTGGAAGCTGAAAATATTTTCCCACTTATCACAAAAGCTGTATCACGTATATTTTGAGCTATAATTCACATTTCTGTGCATGGAAATTTAGCTGAACACTGTCTTCTTGCTTTGGGGGCGTTTACTCTGATTTGATGCTCCTTTAGAGTCAAATGAAGCAGACTATAAACAATTTTATTAAGGCATGAAATTTCTGGATTCTGAAATATAAAATTATACAAATGCCCATCTTTTCTTTCACGTATGTCTATTTCCTTAGGCCAACAGGGCATCACTGGTAAAATAATGTGTTAGTGCTTAAAGGACTTAATAGATTTTTAGATGTCATCAAGTTCTCAATTTCTAAACTATGAACTAATAATATCAGAATCAAGAAAACTAAGCTCTAATATGTATCTAAGATGTACTACTCAAAACACTTTTAAGATCTTAAAGGCATTCCTTGCTGTCTTCACATGAACAGGATTAAAATGAGGCTTAAATCTGTAAAATCTGTGATTATTATAAAGCACTCTACTTTCTTCTTGACAGCTTGACATCTAATGCCTTAAAAGGGAAAACGCAGCTTGGTTCAGTTTTATTTCTCGGGCATCACTGATGGATCATATTTCATTTTCTATAACAGTTAATGCATGTTTTTGAGCACTAATATTTTCTAGAATTGCCACTTCTCTCACTTGCATGATGGTTAATATTGAGCAGTTCTGTGTATTGGAGCTATTTGATTAGACAACTTGCCACCGATTGGTGTGGTAACGGGGGAGGAGTTAATGTCAGGGATGGCAGTGTTATTTTACCTTTCGGTTGTTATTTTTGTACAAAACAAATTCAATACACTTCTAATATTTGAATATTGTGGAGGAAGAACAAATTGTTCTCTATCCTCCTAGGTTCTTTTGGCTTATATAATAATTAAATCTACCTGGGACACATTAACAAGAGCAAATAACCAAGTTTAGAGACAGAAAGGGAAAATGAGCCTCTTGTATGCGCCCTGAACCCACAATCCAGTCATGTGCCCTGAGCAGGAATCGAACCAGTGATCTTTCATTTTGTGGGATGATGCTGAACTATCTGAGCTACTCCGGCCAAGGCAAGACACGTTTTCTTCAAGTGTTGTAAGCAGGCATCATTTAATTAGCTCACCATCAGTAAGTGGTTTTCTCTGAATAACTAACAAATGAGCCTTTCAGAGACTTACTGTAGTCACAGCCTTCTTTTCCTTTTTCCTTTCTTTTCTTCTCTTTGTAAAGCAATTCTTCTGTGATGAGGTGTTCCATGTTAATCTTCTAACTCTTCAGACTGTTGCTTTCTTGTTATTTGGCATATTGTGATGAGTGTTGCATCTGGTAATATAAATGTGTATTGTGTTCTTTTTGTCACAGATAGTGTCATTGCATACTAAACACAACCTGACATTTCATTTTATAAAAAAGTAGATTTTGTACAACTGGAACTTAAAAGTGTGATTTTCCAAGTCTGATCATCTCTTCCTGATTTGACATAAAGGGCAGGCACTAATAATAAAAATAAATCCAATAAATTGCGATGGCACTTGACACTTTAGAGGATGAAAATAATTTTCCCTCTACTCTTCTAGGTCCCTTGGCTAAGACCCCTGTAATAAAAGACAGATTAAAAGGAGGAAAGCAGAAATTGAATAAGAAGTATACTTCCTGTATGCATGAGAAAACCCAGGAAAACTGGGTAGCTCTCTGAACGGCTCAAGACATTGTAACCAAGCAACCTAGGGGCTCAGCTCCTTGGCGCCTGTACATACGACCCAACAATTAGTGCGGAGGGAAACAGGTTTTTAGTCGTAGGATTCCGACCCCGGCGGACTCCTCCCCTGAGCCCCCCTCTCCCGTGAGAGCCAGCACGTCCCTTGCTGCCCAGGAGGCTACAAGCCAAAGCCAAGGCTAGCCGTTCGCCCTGGCCTTCTCTCCCCGTCAGTCAGTCCCTGCTGGCTCACGGCTTCTTCCTCCTCTCTCCTCATGTCCAACCTGCATGGCTGCCTCCTGCTTCAGCCTGCATGGCTCCTATCTCACTGCAGACCTCATGGCGGACCAAATCCCCTTGTCTTTTAGACCGCCCTTATTTTAAATGTTGACCCAGAACTTCCTGCATGACCTTATAACTGGCCCCTCCTACAATCGGCCACTTGTGCCAGTTGCCCCATACCTTTACTTCATCCGGCTGCCATGTTTAGTCAGGGCAAGAGTGGCTCGGTGATGCATGGTCCTCTGCTTCCCTTGGCTACATCACCAGTCAGGGACACATTCTGAAAGTCACATATACCTTTTGCCCAGGGTGGTAGCACAGCTATTATCTTGCCTTTTGTTATGCAAAGTATCTTAAATGCTGTATCATCTCCTTCCCCCTTCCCCCAGCTATGGGCTGTGGGGACTTTGGGAACCCCTCGCTCTGCATCCCGTTACAACATCATCTTAAATATTATCTCTAGCTAAAGACAAAAGAAGATTTTGGGGGTGGGGGATCCAGTTATGGGAGGAGCACATATATGGAAAATCACATTAAACAAACGTATGGCTGTTGCGCAAATTTAGGTTTGTCGCTTTCCCCGTTGGTAAGAGTGTGTAGAGATTTAACCGTCCTTACTAAAGGAAATGTTCTTTTAAAAATGTAAATGTGCCTTACAAAAGGGTAATTTCTACTTGGTTTCATGGCTTTTTCTATGTCCACTGTTTCTTTAAAATAATCAGCATCAAATAATCTTTATATCAAACAGACAAATTTTGTAATGATGTCCTGAGAGACTATGACTCCAGCATGTTCAGTCAAAACTTCTGACAATCACTGAGTTGCGTTTACTTAGCTTCCTTGAAAAATAGTTTCCTTTCATAGATCAAATGAGATTTACCAAATGCTTCATCCCACATATGAAAATTGCATGTGTAGAAAATGGTGTAGGATACATTCAATATTTTAAACAGAGAACATATTTTAAGTCCTGAGAAATATTAAATGAATACAGACATAATCTTTTCAAGACCTTGATAATTATCCCAGGGTGGTGGGTTTGAATCTGTGTACTAGTTCATAAATGTGTTTGCATTTATAACATCTATTAAATATCTTTGTATTAGAGCAAATTTGTAATGTGTAAAGAGATTTTAATTTCAGACAATGGTGAATTCCCAAATACAAGCTGTTAAAGCAATTGAATTGTAAAAGCATTGCATTGAAAGCCTCTCCAAGTTACATTTCAACCATTTAAATATTTTAAATTGTCCTTTACAATTCCATTCTTATGTCTCATGGAACTCGAAAATGTAACACTGGACTGTAAACTCAATGAGAAAATGAATTCCTTTTTTTTTTTTATTCCCAGTACCTAGAGCTGTACCTATCACATTGTAAATTCTCAATAAGTATTGGGTCTTGAAAAAGATATTTACCCAGGCATTCTTTTATGGACCTGTATCTGATGTCTGTTTGCAATGCGGTATCTTTTTCACTTTTAACTTTCTCATGTTTTTATCCCTCCTACAGCCAGTGAAGGAGGCTGTCAGAACGCGCACCCCCATGAATGAGGTGGTTGTGGAGGTCTGGATGCACCCCGAGCCACAGGTATGAAGGGGGAGACTTGTGTCTTCCTGTCCGTCCCCATCACTGATTGGTATGAATGAATAAGAAATAGTCTGACGTTGTTTTTCTTGATGTGTGTTCTATGAACTTTCGGTAGGTGGCTGACTCTAAAGATAATATGAGAGTCAATACAAGTTTCTTCCTAATGTGGTGTGTTGATAATGATGGAGTTAGTTTCATTTTGGGTCAGGTATGAGCATTCCTCAGAAATTATATTCTAAGTGATTGTCTATTCCACTAATGTTTAAGTTTGCTTCTGAGATCATGTACTGAGAAAAGTTAAGAACTCCTATGTTATAGTGTCATCTAAATTTAAGTTTTCACATTGTTGAAGAGAAAATACACAGGCCAAAATTGGTGCCGCTCACACTAAAAGCCCATGATACTAAATGCAGAGTGAATACCTGATCAAAATAATTACAGTTTCAGCCACCCCAGAAAAAATCTTAATCAACCAGTCTGGCCTTTTCTGGTCAAATACTAAGAAAATAATCAGTCACCCGTCCCCTTCATGACAAAGACCTATCCCCTTCCCTTCCCCCAAAGAAAAGGTGTCCCTGACCAAAAATAATTCTCCTTTCTCTTGCTAATAGCGCCTTGCTTCACCCTTCTCCCTATGAAAACCTTCCATTTTGTAGAGCCCTTTAGTACCAACAGGCAGAGAACACTGTTAGAACACTAGACACAGAGAATTGGCGTGGAGGAAGATGGGCTCTTTTATTACTGCCCAGGAGGACGGGATGCTAACGTTCAAAGGCCCAAACCCCAGGGCGGCCGGCAGGGAGTTTGATAGAGCACTCCCTCTGTCATGAGTGAGGGGTCTAGAGTTGTGGATCTTGGGGATGGGTCGAGTGAGGCAAGGGTGGTGAATCGTGATTTCTGGAACCCTTACCTTGTGACCCTTAGTCAAGGCATCGCCATTGTTTCTGGCTGCTTCAGGACCTTCATGGTTAATAAAGAAAGGGGCTAAGATGCACCCTGTACGCTGGCTGGTGGGGGCTCAGGGGACTGAGTGCCGGCCTGTGAACCAAAGGGTTGCTGGTTCGATCCCAGGCAGGGCACATGCGGGGGCGAGGAAGGGCGGTCAGGTCCACAGCGGGGGCACACGAGAGGCAACCACACAGGGATGTTTCTCTCCCTCTCTTTCTCCTTCCCTTTCCCTCTCTAAAAATAAATAAATAAAATCTTTTTTAAAAAAACATACATTAAATCAGGACCCTCGGTCTCACTTTCCACTTTACTATGTGGGATGCTGTTCAATTAATGAATTCCTTAATAAAGTCAATTAGATTTTCACATTTACTCCATTAATTTTTGTTTTTTAACAGCATAATATAAAGCAATTTGTTTTATGCTCATTAGATGACTTTTACTAAAGTCTCATTAAAGCAAATCAATTCAGGGGGAAGCCAGTTTGAAATTAAAATAAGGTATTTTGCAGAATCCACTTTTACTTATTTCAGTCTGGATGGCTCAGAATGAGACTAACAAATACAATCAAATTTGTTTTTTTAGTAAAGGCCTTAAGCGAACTTTAAAAATAGAATGAGGAGACCAATGCCTAAGATTAACTGATTAAGGTTATGTTGTTAATAAAGGTCCTAAATCTGACTGTTTGGGTATTAATTAAGATCCATAAATTGTGTTCGACCCTATTATTTTCAAATATCTTTTATTTGTCCCAAAGGGTATAATTTCAGAAATTGTAGCCACATAAATACATTTCTGCAGTATTAGAAAAACAACCCAAATGGAATGAAAAGAAAATCACATCTGTTTATTATTTATCATTTCATGGGTGCTCCTGAGATTCACCAAAGTCATATGTTCTACAGTATTTTACAGAGTTCATTTCTGCTTTGGGGGAATAGATACAAAATGAATATATGCACAGTGGGAAGAAATGATTAATTTTAAAAAAGGTACATTGCATCCCAGGAATTGTCCAAATTGTTACAAGTGTTAAGTTCTTGAAGTCTGAATTAGTGAAGTTTTCCTAAATGTCAAACTGACTGTTAAGTCTTGCACCTCAAGCAAAGTGGACAAGATGTGGCGTACAATCTACATCTGTAACCTTAACTGAGAAGCTATTTAGCTATTCAGTTTCGAGGAAAAGCACACAATTCTAAAGTATGTACTTTAAAGTCCAAAAATTTGAACTACCAGCGTCATATGAGTCGTAAATGGGATAATTAAAAGTCATATTGACTTAGACATTGTAACACCACTTCTTCTGTGAGTAAGAAGATGATCTATCCATAATATTTTTTATCTAGCCAGTTACTTCTGCTCGCACTCTACTAAATGGGGTACAGGTAATTAACCCTACTAATTTCTTGCCAATGACTAATTCTTTTATTGGTTTATGAACTTAAAATCTTGTTAAAGATGCAATATCCTTCCATAGTTGGTGCATTTTGCTTGAGGTTCTTTTATTAGTTAAGTCTTTTAAATATCTGGTAGCCTTGATTGTCCTTACTACCTTCAATTCATGACTCTATAATGCATGTTAGATTTCACTTGGAGTCTCAGGCAGTGCGGGAGGGGCAATTTTCTCCTCTTTTCTACTTTAGTTCTTCTTCTAATAATCAAATTGACACGAGACCAATAATAGCAGAAAGCTAAATTACGTACGTACGTACAGGGGTCACGTAAGAAGACGGACTGGAGAACCAGGTGCGCAGGTGAGGTTTGTATGCCATTGGGACTAAGGAGAGAGGGTAGAGATTTGGTCTTCAAAAGCAAGGCGAGCAATTTAGAGGTAAATGAGAAGGGGCAAACATTTAATAAACACACCCTCACCCGGCCACCCAGAAAACACAGGTACCGGAGGAACTCCAGCAAACAAACTCCGTTCATATGTGATCTAAGGTGATCGCTTCCTTCCTGGACCGGGTTCTATCTGAATTCGTTTAGGTAGGTGAGGGGGAGGTAAAAGCTCTTCTTGAATCTATTGTTCCTTAAAAATAACCAACTCAACACAATAAATATCCCCCCAGAATCCACCCTCTCTCAACCAGCTCTACACGTGCTGGAATGGAATGGATATCCATTGGTGTGGAATCTTTGTTTTATTTTTTTAGTGATTCTTTCCCACCTCCCTTGACCCCATTCTTAGTAATTATAATGCTCAGTGAGATAGCAAGTCTCCAGCTGAGTACTACTGGATCAAAAAATTGAAACAAAATAAAAGTATATATTGTTTGGGGTCTTTTCATGGTTTTCTATGACTTTCAATAGCAACTGCTTTGTTGGTAAAAAATATTCTACTAAGATGACACTCTGATTATGAATATAGACATTAACTTGACTACCACTGTACTTCATTAAGTACAAATATATTGTGATTATGACATTCATTTCATATATATTTCTATATTTATAGAAGTAACTAGTTCAGTGCAATAGTATAGGCGCCTGCTGTAAATAGGAAGAGGCCTATTGCTTAACATTAGTTCCCCAAATCTTAACATCCACAAAGAACATAAGTGACCTCGGGCACAGAAGGAAAATAAAATAGTGTGAACACTGGGAAGGGACCCAAGAACAAGAAGGAAAGTAGAACAAATTTTTATTTTGAAAAGATAATGGAAGTTCTATGTGACAACTAATGTAAACTCACTGTGTACCTGGTAGTCTCCTCAACAATTAAAATATCAACTCATTTAATTCTCAGTACAAACCTTTGACTATTATTACACCTGTAATTATCCCTGATTTAGAGAGGAGGAAGTTGGGACACAGAGAGGCGCTAGCAAGTATGGTACCAAAACCAGGATGCAGCTATATGATCATTTCTCACCAGGAATTAACAGCACAAATACAAGGTGGTCCCTGGGACAAGAAGTATTTTTAAAGGATTTTTTTAAAAGTACTCTTGCATACATTTGCATATGCTGAAATTAAGAGGACCGCTTTATGATGTTCACATGTAAATGAAAGAACAATAAGATATGGAGAACCAGAAAGAATATGAGGTACTGAAACAAGGAAGAAACTGCACTTTGTAGAAGAATTAAATCTACTGTGATAATCCCTAATGGAAATATTTCTGCAGGATGAGCTCTAACAATGATAGTGCTCAAGAATTCCCACAGTTTTAAAGAATTATCTAGTAGTCTTGGAATTTTGGCTAACAGGGTCACTTGTGTAATATGTTCACAGTGAACTCATTTGGTGAAGGAATTGCCTCACTAATCTTATATTTTACAACATTTGGCTCGGAAATCCACAGGGGTTTGACTAGTCAGTTTTCACAAAGTAAAACCAGCTCCTCTAATTCTTCCATATTCTTGATGACCTACAACCCTGACAGAGGAAGTCACTCAAGTTTGAGATTTTTGGTCTGATTTATTTTTATTTATTTATGTATTTGTTTGTTTATTTTGTGCTTCCTGGACTTGTGTGACTTTTTCTCTTCTCCAATTAGGGAAGTTTTCCATCATGACTTTTTCAAACAGGTTCTCTATTTCTTCCTCATCCTCTTCTCCTTCTGGTATCCCTATTATACGGATATTATTATGTTTCAGGTTGTCCTGCATTTCCCTCAAAACCTCTTCATTCTTTTTGAGTCTTTTTTCATTATCTTGCTCTTTCTGGGAGCTTTTTTCTACCTTATCCTCCAGCTCGTTGATTCAATCCTTTCTTTCATCAAACCTACTTTTGATTCCGTCTACTGTGTTCTTTAATTCAGAAATTGTATTCTTCAGTTCCTCTTGTCTCTTATGGATAGTTTCTATGTCCTTTTTCATGCTGATAGAGTTTGCAGTAAGTTCCTTGTAGTTTCCCTGTAGTTTTTGGTAATTCTCTCTGAGCTCACTGAGCTTCCTTAGAACCTTGTTTTGAACTCAACATCTGATCGTTTACTTGCCTCTGTTTCATTTAGTTCTCTGTCTGGGGATTCCTCCTGTCCCTTCAAATAGGGGTTGTTTCTTTGTCCTCCCATTATTTGTGAGACTCTTCTTTTTTGCTTCTGCTCCTTA